GACATGTGACCTGCACTGCTTCTGGTGGACGATCCTGTGAAGGCCACGACAGGCCACCTGATACAGAACTGGGAAGATCTCTGTGGGTCACTAAACAAAGAATAGGCCAGCGAAGTAGAGGACCCAACCTCTCTCAACTTTCAGATTTGTCATAGGCCTGAAATTGTTGCTTGGTTACTCCTTGCCCCTATGGGATTTCCTCCCCTTGAAAGACCCTGGGGCAGTGAGGTGCGCACGCGCGCGCGCGCGCGCGCGCGCACACACACGCACAAGTTGCAGGAAGCTCCAGCACTGTCATGAAGCATGGGATTTTGGAGCTGGACAGTTCTGGGTTTTCATTCTACTACTTAGGAGAGTGAGCCTGTTTCCCCACATTTTAAAAGCACTACACCAACACCTTCACTTGCCCCAACAGAGCACTCACATGTGGCGAGACACTTTCTCTAATTTCATTTTAATCCTCCCACCAACCAAATGAAGATGTCCTGATCATTGTCCTGATTTTCTGGAAACAAAACAAAACTTGAGGCTCAGGAAATTTCTTGTCTAAGTTCACACAAGTGGTTGAATTCAGAGGTAAACATAGGCATTCAGCTTCCCAACCCCCAGTACATATGCCCCTTGGTGGCTGGGACCAGCCTCATCATCATGCCGGAGGGCGTCATACTGCACAGCTGGGTGATTACTTACCTGGGGTCCTCTCCTGCCGTACCTGGAAGATGCACACCGCCTTCTTCACCCAGGAGGCTTACTGCCCCCACCCCCCCAATGCAGAGGAGCTGTCTGATGTCCTATTAAGGGAGGGCCTCCCCTGCATCTGAGCTCAATGCTACTCGCTCCCAGCAGGTGTTCACCAAGCAGGACCGTGAATGCAGGAGGCCAGTATCCACAACCGTTTGTCAGTTCACTCTCAGCACTTAGCCCAATGCCTGGCACACTGTAGGTGTGCAATAAACGCGTACTGAATGAAGCACTCAAGCCTCCCACCTCTAAGTGGGAAGGGAAAATGGGTGCAGTGGTATTTGTGAAGCAACTGGACCTCATAATAGCCCCAAGCATCTGGGATCACTGGTGCTTCTAGCGATCCAGCTCCAGGGAGCCAGTCTTGGTTAAAATGGGGCCTTGAAGGAGCCTGCAACCTTGCTCTGATCAGGAAGGGCAATGATGCAACACAGCCTTCCAGGGCCATGGGCCCGTTGAAGAGCAGGCTGAGGGGCATCAGGAGGTGACAGTCATTTTGAAAATTGACAGCTGACTCTCCTCAAGTCAACGTGATATGGAAAAGTTGAGACCTGAAGCTAGCATCTTCCACTGTGATAGGGGTCCTCCTAAATGGGCGGGTGCCTTGTGATTCCAGACACCCCTGCCATGCCCATCTTCCAAGCATCCCTGCTCCCTGGTTTGAAGCCCACCTTGCTAACATGCATTCTTTACTCCAGAACCTGAACTTTTTACCTTTTGGAGTCAAAGGCCACTTCAAAGCTCTGATGAAACTAGGAACCCTCTCTCCGGATAAATATTCATATGCATATGCACGAAAAACATTGCACACACCTAGGATCCCCAAAACAACCATGGCTCCAGCCCCCCACCCCCCTACAAACCTAGCCTCATGCCGGACTTCAGGCCCGGGAAAGGAAGAGACCCTCTAAGCTGCAGCAGAGAGCCTGGGATGGAGTAAGGACAGTCTGTCAAAATGTTCAGGGAACCTGGACTTTAAATTTGGATCACTGCTCTTGTGAATTCAGCAAATGAAGTAATAGGCGTTAAAAGCACTACACAATTACACTAACGGTTAGAGTCCCCCACCCAGCCTGGAGGGCAGTAGGCTCGAGCAGGTGACAAGGACAGAGAAAGAGGCCCTGTTCCTCCTTTCCTAGGCGTGTGCTCTTGTGCGAGGCCTCTCCCAGGTTTCAATTCTTACTTTCTGTAGGGGGCACCCAGGGGAAGGGGTATTGGGTGCAAGAGAGTATGACCAATGGCAAAGCCCGCCTGTCCCCCATTCTAGCGGTTATCCTGGGCAAGGCTGTCAGCTTTCTCCGTTGTAAAACAGGGATAACAGTGCCCACCTCCAGCAGTGTTGTCACCATTTGTCACCGTTAAGGACGGTGAGGGCAAAGGCCCGTCACACTATGCCAGCTAAATATAGGCTGCTCTTACCATCATTGTCCAGCTTTCAGGGAGCCTTGGGATTAAGAAAAAGAACGCATGTGTGGATACCTTGTTATCGTTCTAATGAATTATTCAGTACCTCGTGATGTGGGCAACTGCCACATTTTTAAGCGAAGGATGAAATCTTCAGAATGGTGACCAACGCTCCCACCCAACCTCACTCTCAAATGCAGACGGAGGTGAGAACAAATGAAGAGCCCACAAGTCGCCATCCGTGAAACTGTCTTTACTAACAAAACCAAAGAACCCCACACACTTTTTGTGGCCATCAACTTTTTTTTTCTTTCAAATTTTAAAATGGTATTGTGCATACACATAGTTTTTAAATTTAGACACACTTTGGAGATCACAAACAAATCAAGAGATCACTGTGAGATGTTCTGAGATCTGAATTCCAACACTTAGAATTACTGAACCGACTTCTGTTCCTTGAAGTGGATGCCGCTTCTTCTCTGCCTTCAGGGACTGGCCCTGGAACTGTCCCTTCTGCAGCAGCTATGTAACAGGTGCTAGGAAGCGGGGTAACGTAGAGTCCAAGAGCTGCGCATCTGTTAACATCTAGTGGGTAAGCAGGAAGGTGTCGACCCAGCCGACTTAAAAAAGGAAACCCCATAAATAAAAGCTCCATTTATTCCACAAACACTTTATCTTTCTCTCAGTACCTTAGTTGGAAAGAAGGCTGACACTTAACTTCTCGTAGATGGTGAGATGCCCAGGTAAGTGAGTGAGAGTCTCCCTTGCTGTTTCTGGTCTGGAGGCATGTGCCCAGAATCAGGGGCTTTGACGTGCTCCCCCTGGCTGAGGCAGGATGTACTGGGGGTGTCTGGGGGCAACCCCTGTGCAGTCCCACTGGCTTCCCCTGAGGAATTAAGTTTGGGCAAAGCTGTTAGCCGAAGCCTTGAGGCAGGCAAGACCTCCTAAGCTGTGTGTGTGTGGTTTGGAGGAGGTGGGCGGCAAGGGAGGGAGGGTGCACGGTTGTTTGGCTCCCCTGCCAAACAGTCTCCCTCAACTGATTCAGGACGGCATATCCTGACTTTAGGAACGGGGTACTGGGCTGCCCGAGAAGTACCGGGCAGGCCCAGGAAGTTGGTTAAAATATAACCATGAGCGTTTATGCCCATGGAAGCCATCTACCTAACTTGAGAGAAGATAGTCGCGACTTAGAAACAGTGTCTGCAATGAAGGCATCCATGAGGCTTCATTTAGAAAATGAAGGTCCCGGGGCGCCTGGGTGGCTCAGTCGTTAAGCATCTGCCTTCGGCTCAGGTCATGGTCCCTGGGTCCTGTGATCGAGCCCCGCATCGGGCTCCCTGTTCTGCTGGAAGCCTGCTTCTCCCTCTCCCACTCCCCCTGCTTGTGTTCCCTCTCTCGCTGTGTCTCTCTGTCAAATAAATAAATAAAATCTTAAAAAAAAAAAAAAAATGAAGGTCCCATGTTTGGCTGCCAGGCCCACAAATAAGGTTCAGCAACACCCGAGGAACTGCATATGCATGAAGATTTTGTCTTCTGCATGGATATTCCTGCTCTTTTATGAAAGGAGTGGAAACTAGGGCTGATAAGTGATTAGACAGACCCTTACGGACAAGGACCAGACCAGCAGAGAAACCTATCTAGGCTTTTATGACCCGTGCCTTAGCTCACAAGAGGAGAAGTGCGTGGAAAGTCCTAGGCCACTGGTACGGTGATGACAAAACTCTTCTAAAACCTGAAATCCACACGGCAGGATTACTGAGAATATGCTAATCCAAATTAATGTCCATTTTTTTTAGATAAAACAGGTCAGGCAGATTAATACCACAATTTTCTTGGTTAGATTATGTTTCCCATATGTATAAATGCAGACTAGTCCTTCTATTGCTTCATATATTTCAATCAGATGTGAGATTTCAATCACCCAAAAGTAGACCAAAAATGACCGTATTCCTCCCAAATTTACACTGAGATAACTTATTAAATTTTGAAGTAAGTGTAATTGCAGGGACATGGGAACAGGTGAATATCTGCTTATCTCCATCTGGAATTGTATCCACTGAACTTATAATAGGTTATGATGATGATAAAATTGAGGTGTAGTCTGTTTTAATAATATAAGCCAAATCTAGAATTGCCAATGCTTAGTCATCCCTACTTGATTTACAGTATGGTCATGGCAAGGCTTCCCTTGGATGTTTTCTGGTATCATGAAGTCCACCGCCCAGGGCACTGGCTGGTTTGGACTGGGACTGACAGGAGCCTCTGGAACTCCACACAGGTTCCCGCAACTTCAGCTGAGAACAGAGCGCCCCAACAGAGCTGCAATGCATGCCCTTTGGCTTCTTAAAAACACTAAGGGTAAACAAAACACAAAGAGGGAGCGGAGTGTTTGGCGACCTGGTGCAAAGGCTCAACCCACACCCCCCACCCCCAACCATTCCAGCAAAACCCCCCCCTCTTAATCTGTCTTCTTTCTTTTCGGTTTTTGGAATGGTCTTTCCCTCGTGCTTGTCTGAAAGGTACTCACAGAGTGCTGACAAAGTATCATGAGGATAATCACCTTAGAGACGCTTTCTGGTATATGAGAGAGACACCGCCTGACTATTCCCCGTCTGTCAACACAGGAGACCCGTCCCTTGAAATCTTATATACAGAGAAGTGGCTGCCGCCGTGCTCTCGTGTGCGGTCGGCTCCGGGCTCATGGGAAGGGAAGGGCTTTCTGCTTGGAACAACTTACACCTATAGACAACGAACACCAAGAAACATGCAAATGCTACAGAAGGCTGGAGGTGAAGAATTCATATTTTACACCAGTGAGGGGAACACTGTTACAAAACGCTGACGGGATGGTTTCTGTCATTCATGCTCTAACTTGAGGGTCTTTGCAACAAAGGGGGCCCGTGAAGGTGTTTGCTTCTCTCTTTTTTTTTTTTTTGGCCTTCTTCAGGATTCACAGTTGGTTCTGTGTCAGGCACTAAGCAATCTGGCTTTTGGTCCAAACAGGTGTCTTAGTAGTCTCTTTACATCTTTTTGATCCTCTGCGAAGGAGCAAGTTCAAATGCTGGGAACTGGGATGTCTCCGGTGCCAAGATGTCGGAGAGAAAGTGAATCGCGCCAGCCATGCCTGCAACGTACAACGTGGATCCTTTTATTCAAGGGCATTAGGGGAGCGTCTGAAACAAAGTGACCTGTAATCATTGCCTGTACCAGGGGCTACAGGGATGATGGAAAAGGTGCTGAGGACTTTACAAATGACTTCATAAAAAACCAAAACCAAAAAAAAAACCACAAAGAAATCCTTATATTAGCACCCAGCAGATAACAATACCAGTTTTCTTCCTTTTTTTTTTTTTTTTTTTTTAATTGGGTTCTGGGCTTTAATCTTGTATCTTGCAACTCTAAGATGATCTCATAGAATGGCCACCTAAAAAGTTACGGGTGCTGCTATTGTGCTATTTCAACTATAAAACTTCCTCTCTCAGAGCTTTATTCCTAGTCCAAACAAAAAGGTTGCATTTTGTATCTTCTTTGAATTTTAAGAATGCCACTTTAATTTTTAAAAACTTTTTAAAGTTTAATTCCAGTAGAGTTAACACACTATATTAGCTTTAGGTGTACGATGTAATGATTCAACACTTCTCTCCGTTACTCGGCGCTCCTCACGTGTACTCTTCATCCCCGTCACCTGTTCCCCGCCCACCTCCCCTCCGGCGACCTTCAGTCTGTTCTCTGTAGTTAAGAGTCTGATTCTTGGTTTGTCTTTCTTTTTTTCCCTTTCTTTTGTTTCTTAAATTCCACATATGAGTGAAATCATATGGTGTCCCTCTCTGACTTAGTTTACTTTAGTACAATACTGTCTAGCTCCATTTATGTTGTTGCAAATGACAAGATTTCATTCTTTTTTATGGTTGAATAAATATTCCATTACACACACACACACACACACACACACACGAATGCTACTTTAAAATGAACTTTGTTTTCGAGGCGCCTGGTTGGCTCAGTCGGTTACGCATCTGACTTCAGCTCACATCATAATCTCAGGGTCTTGGGATCGAGCCCCGTGTTGAGCTCTGTGCTCAGGGGTGGGGGTGTGGGGGGGGAGTCTGTTTGTCTCTGCCCCTCCCCCTGCTCATGCTCTCGCTGAGACTCAAATAAATAAATAAAATCTTAAAAAAATAAATAAAATGAACTTTGTTTTCATCGAAATTCCCACCGCAAATCACTGTAGTCTGCACCAAGATCGGGCTTTCAATAGACCTACAGGAAGGTGGGCGAGGAAGCCTGCGAGCTGGCTGGCTCCAGCCTCTAGGCCCCTTATCTCCCTTTTCAATCAGAACAATTCCTCCCTTATTGGATTTTTGTTTATAGCTTTTCTTTTGACGCAAAATTTACATGCACCGAAACACCCAAGTCCTCAGTGGACTCCTCTGAGTCTGACAAATGCACACACTTGTGTAAATCAAACTCCTATCAAGAGATATGAAATATTTCCATCGCCTCCCCACTGTGTGTCCCTCTCTAGCTTACCCCTGCCGCCATCCCCAGCACGGAGTAGTCTGGCCTGTTTCAGAATGTCCTTTGAATGGAACCCCACAGTATATATAGCCTGCTCTGTGTGGTTTCTTCCCTCAATGATTTTGCAATTCATTCACATTTTGTGTGTGTCATTAGCTGTTTTCCTACATTTTGGTCGTTCTCAGACTAACCCTGTAAGTTTTTGTTTGAAGAAAGGGTTCCAGTAGCTTAAGAAATCTGAAAGACACTGACTTATTAGAACCTGTTACAAAAAGACGATGACCCATGACACCCTAGAGTGGTCCATTTGTTTTCTTGTTTTGGTGGGGTGGAGCAGCAGATTCACCTCGACGGAGCACTTGGACAGGAGAAAGCTCCAGAAGGGGTTACCGGTGTCAGTGACCCTTTCAGCCTAGTCGCCTCCACAAAGGCACTAGAAGTACTCTCCACCCACCCCACAAGGATCTACCTAGAGCCTACTTCCAGGCACTTGGGAGGCGTAGGGGAACAGATGAATCTAACTTCCCAGCCTTTAGGAAGTTGTACATTCAAAGATTTTGACCTACTCGGACTTTGGAGCTGCCATTAATAGACTTGAATGCACTCCACTGAGAGTTCAGGTATTAACTCTGTTCTATCTAATGCAAATACACTGCATTTTAATGATGTAAAAGACTGACATTTTTTTCTGAGGATTATTTTTTCATTATGATTGCTTTGAATATTAAAAGGATATTAATCTGCAAAAGATAATGGCAAGTGCTCTATTTTCTGCTTATATTTCTAACATAGGATTAAAAAATATACCCAAGAGCAGAAGCAGAATAGGGCCTATCACTACAGATAATTCAGACATCAGAAGCGAAATAAAGGATTAGCTTTACACACACCAACTTGACAGGTAGGTGAAATAGAACAATGTCTCAAAAATACAAACTACTGAAACTTACCATATGTGAAATTGATAACTTGAACAGCCCTACAAACTAACTAGTCCCCACCCAAATCTCTACTCCAAGGTTTCACTGGAGAATTCTACCAAACATTTATGTTAGAATCAACACCAATTCTTCCACCAATTAATAACATTACCTGTTCCAGAAAACAGAAGAGCAGAGGATACTTCTCAATACCGTTTATTAGGTCGGTATTACTCTGATGCCAAAAGCAGACAAAGATAGTACAAAAAGGGAAAACTCTAGGCCAAATCCCTCATGAATATAGATGCAAAAATCCTCAACAAAACATTAGCAAATACAATTCAGCGATATCTAAGAAGACCAAGTGAGGTTTATCCCAGAGATGCAAGGCTGGCTTAATATTTGAAAATCAACCAATGTAATCCACAATGTTAATAAGAAAAAAAAATTCACACGATCATATCAACTGATGCAGAAAAAAGCATTTGACAAAATTCAACACCCATCTATTGTTTGATTTTTTTAAAAAATATTCAATCATTTATTCCTTTTGAAGTTTACTTTGGAATTAGTACAAGATGTAGCTCTAAAGTAATCAAAAGTTATCACCAATTTATCCTAATACCATTCAACCTTTGCCCTTTGATTTCTGTGGCTTACATTACAAATTATCTAATTCACACACAGAGGCACACACACAATATAAATACAAAAAATGTATGAGTCCTCTCTGTAGGGTTTCTATTTTGTTTTCCTGAATTATAGTCTATATACGGTGCTTTGCAGCAGACTTACTGCGTTTGCTCATTTCCTGTCTTTGCTTGTTCTTCAGTATGCTACTATTTTTTCCAACTACCTATTTTCCTAACTACTAATACTTTTAAGTTACTAATATCAATTATTCATACTTCTTTATATATCTGAAATAATTAAACATTATTTAAATAACTAAACAAGTTTCCTGTGAATAGATCAATATTATAAACACAGTGTTACAGACAAAATGCAGAGGAGTAACCTTATTATTTCTTCTATTACTGAGTAGCAAACATTCTATGTTGTCTGCACATATTCTTTAGAAATATTTGAAGGACGCTCACGGGTGCACGAAACAGGTAAGGCAGAGAGACTCGACATAATTTTCAGCAATAAACTACTTTGTTCACAGTTGTTTTACAGTTGTGGAGTTATTACTCAAGGAAGGGCAAATGCAATAGGGCCAGTGCAGGGAGACGCAGAAGGACCAAATTCACTCACCCAGATATTTAAACCTAGCGTTTTCTGCTCACACTTACCTTCAAAGAGAGAGTAGGGTCTGTCGGGGATGCGGCACCCATGTGCTCCATATTCTAGACACCACTCTGCAAACTAAGAGGAAACATATTTAAGAGCAGAGATTTCACTTGGTGAAAAGGCAGCAAATGAGGCACTGCAGTGAATTCACCAAGCACTCAAGGAAAAGGATTCCCGGGCAAGGGGTACTGCTGGGCCAGGAGAAACAGGGGAGACCACAGAGCTGGGAGAAACCGGTTAAGAGAAGGAGAGGAGCTGTAGTTCTGGATTTTGTGCATGCTCTGGAGTATTCCAAAGTTGTCTCGATAAAGACTCCTTACTTTGCTCCCTGCTCAGCAGGGAGTCTGCTTCTCCCTCTGACCCTCTTTCCTCTCGTGCTATCTCTCATTCTCTCTCTCAAATAAATAAAATCTTTAAAAAAAAAAAAAAAAGACTCCTTACTTTGCAAGCTCGGTAGAGATATTTTTTATCCTGCGTGAGATGGTACAGGGACAGGAACGAATAGCCATTCCCGGCTGTCCCGTGGCAGATCCCATAGCCCTTCCGAAGCAAACCTCGCTGCCAAATGACATCACTACACTCCATGGCATCTTTCAAGTATTTCTCCTCCTTAAAGACCTGCGCAGTGGAAAGCAAAAGAGTGTGAGAAAGATGTTTTCGATCATGAGTTAGCAGAACAGTTTCCCTTTCTGGCTAGTCAATGACGCATCAGGAAACCTGAAACGGCTCTGGGGGTAACCACAAACACCACCAGCAACACCACAGTACCGCACCTCACAATCTTAATCGACCCACCTCTTCCCCTCGTCCTCCCAGTTCATGGTTTTGCAAAACTAGTTCTAAAATTTAGCTAAAAAATTAAAACCAAAGCTACCAGAAACCAGGAAGCATTTTGTAATTCCTAGAGCACTATGCCCTGCAGCACTAACACTTACGCTCCTGGTGAAGTCAACTGAGGGACTGCTGGTTCCACAATATCCTGTCAGCTAGGTCAAGAATACTCAATATCCTGGGTCAGCCACATTATCAGTAAGACCCTGATGGCCTGGCACTATCAGGGCTGGTGAGACCTGTCATAATCCATCCCACGGAAACCAGCACGAAGCTTCCTGCAGTTCCTGGACCAGACATGCCTGGGCTGCACAACATACTGGCACGGTCTCCACTGAGTGGTTTCTGTGTAAAGAGACAGATGAGCTTGACGAAGACAAATGCCCAGCAGGAGGAGGCTGTCTGTTTTTGCCTCCTCAAATTCCCTTTTAAATTTTCTTCTCTTTCCCCTCATGTTTCGTTTATTTTCTCTAGTCCTTCCCTCAGAATCTGCTGTCAGTAATCTCCACTTGCTTAGCTCATTCCATGCTAGTGTAAATGAAGTAGAGGCAAAAGGGTCCTCAGAGATGATCTCCTTGCGGGGAGCAAACAGGATTCATCTACCTGTGACTGAATAGTAGTGACCTCACAAAAAAAAAAAAAAAAAAGAGATGAAGTATGTGCACCAGTGTATGCAGAGGGTAGAAGGGGAAACAGAGAGACATTTGCATTTCACTCACTATTCCTGATGTAGAATCTATTCACCAGGGTCAGAAGCAAGACTCTAACTCATGAAAGCAACTGAGATGTGTGCTCTGGGGTCAGACTGCCTGAGTTTGAATCTCAGCTCTGTCACCTTGTAACTGTGTGGCCTGGCCTTGAACAAGTGGCTCAATGTCTCAGTTTTCTCAACTCTAAAAGGATACTAGTTCTTCAAGTCAGTGGCTTGTTATGAGTATTAATGGCACCAAATCAATCAAATGGGGGAAAAGAAAAGTCTTTTCAAGAAACAATGTAGGAACAATCAGATATCCTGATGCTTACAAAAAAGAATCTCTCTTCTTACATCACATATACAAACCTAATATACAAAATATACATGTAATATATAAAACGTAGAGATAGCTCATAGTTCTAAATTGAAATCCGTGCAGCTTGGAGAAGAATATTATCTGTATAACCTGGGGGTTAAGTAAAATTTTGTGACAATTAATAAAGGGAAACCTCACTAAAGTGGAGTTGGGAGGTGAGAAGGGCAAGCCTGCCTCTCTACTCAATTCCAGAAAGACTTGTCAATTACAGACCCCAACAGAAGAGGAAACAGGAAAGAATCATCAATTATAGGCCCCGACAGGGAAAAAAGGTTCACCGCATCTCCTACAAGAAATCGACTACTCCTGCAACTCAGCCAATGAGAAACTGTCATGACCCTAAAACTCCTGCTTTTTTCCAATGGACTTGCATTCAAAACAACCTCTCCCCCGCTCCTCCTTCTTCTCCATAAAATAATGTTCATCTCCTTTGTTTGTTGGACTTGCCTACGGTTTTGTCATAGCTTGCATATCCCAAAATGTAATTCTCCACTATTCTTGAGTAAGCCCATTTTGCTGGTAAAATAACTGGCTGTTTTATTTTTTCTGGTTAACAATTTCTTAGACAAGATACAGAAAGAAATTACCATAAAAAACTTGATAAAACACAGACTTTATCAGAATTAAAAACTCTACTCCTCAAAAGATACCATAAGGATTATGATTAGGCCAACTACAAAATTATTTCCAGGATCGAGCCCTGCATCGGGCTCCCTGCTCCGCGGGAAGCCTGCTTCTCCCTCTCCCACTCCCCCTGCTTGTGTTCCCTCTCTCACTGTGTCTCTCTCTGCCAAATAAATGAAAAATCTTAAAAAAAAAAATTATTTCCAAAACATCTATCTGACAAAGACTTGTAACCAGAACATCGGAAGAATCCTTACAACTCAATAATAAAAAGATAAAAGACTATAAAACAACATGGGTAAAAGGAATGAACAGACGTTCAACAAAGCAAGATACATAAATGAGCCATGAACACAAGCAAAATTGCTATCCATTAGAAACTACAATGAAATATTAGCCAGAGTGTAATTAAAAAGCCTTTCAGTACCACATGTTGCCAAAGATGTGAACTCTCTTACATTGTTGATGGAACAGCTGTTACTTTGTGAAAAGGTCTGGCAGTTTCTTACACTTACTCTCTGATCCAGCAATTTTAGTCCTGGGTACTGGCCCAAAAGGAATGCAAACACATGTCTACAAAAAGACCTGTACAAGAATGTTCCAAGCAGCTTATTCATAAGAGTAAAAAACTAGAAACAACTGGAAAACAAATTGATAAAGTGGTAGATTTATATAAGGGATGCTTACACTCAGGAAGGTATCAACCATCTTGAGGAAGAAGGAAAGTATAATTTGAAAGAATCTCTCCAGCTGATTCTGATATGCACTCCTCCTTCAAGATATTCCATGTTTCAAATAATCAACTTACAAATGAGCTTCTGGAACACCGTTTATATGAAAACATTTTCTGATGTCTGGTCAATGGCTGACCATCAGAGAGCATTTCTTTTTTTTTTTTTTTAAGATTTTATTTATTTATTTGAGAGAGAGAGAATGAGAAAGAGAGCATGAGAGGGGGTAGGGTCAGAGAGAGAAGCAGACCCCCCGCTGAGCAGAGAGCCCGATGTGGGACTCGATCCCGGGACTCCAGGATCACGACCTGAGCCTAATAAGGCAGTCGCTTAACCAACTGAGCCACCCAAGGCGCCCTCCGAGAGCATTTCTAATACAGCTCTATTTTGGGGTTTTCAGCATAGGCACGTAGGTGCAGGAGTGGGGAAGGTGTGGTGGTTTCCTACTTTACAGAATCGAAAGATTATATCATTATCACTTTGGCATGACTTACATGGTTTTCCTGGGCCGCATATTTGTAAATACCTTTCCAAATACAATTTTCATTTGACCAGTGTTAGCATCTGTTTACAGTGGCTGAATCCACATACTGCTAATGCTGGTGGGCCCATGTGCATAGTTAGAAGGAAGAATTGGTTACCATCACCTGTAGTTTACTGTCAGATAATCAAGAACTGCTCAGCAACGTAGGTTCCAGTTATAGGGCCCACAAATGTACTTTGCTAGAAAATCATTTGCAAGTAATATAATTCCTAACATAGCATAGAATATTATTAAAATCCTGACATTTTTCAAGGATCATCTAGAATACAATATAATTTTAAATTAATAGTATATATTCATACAAAGTAGAGTCCACCCAACTAACACACATGATTAGCATCTCTAGGAAGGGAAAACAAATTAAGTGCAACTAGACTCAATTTATAGTTTTATTTGTGAAGGATATTAATATTTTTTGCAAACACTTGAAAACCTTATGTTTTCATCAGCATTCTTGAAGAACTTATGAGTTCACATGCCAGCAAGAGAAAATGTTGAAAACTTATATAAAATGCAAGCACTTCCTAATTCTGAGACAGCCTCAATGAATGCAGATATTGCTCTTAATTTGAGTTAACAATAACTTGAGAGAAATGGACCCTCGAGCTGTGTTTCTCTAGCTTTGCACTTCCACCCCACCCCCTACCCTGTCTCTGCCCACCCCACCCTCCACCTTGACCGAACACCAATCTCACACGTCACTCATATATTGTAAAATTATATTATTTATGACTTTTCAAATTACCACTGAGGCCTTCTGCCCCCAAAGATTCTGATATCCCTTGCCTTCCCCATGTTTGAGAATCTTGATGTAAATGGACAGAATTAAGTTTTAGTGACTAAGTATGGGATCGTAATGTCTTTGCTCTATGCTTAAGAGAAGAGGGAACTTGCTGTTTCGGAAGAAGTAAGGCAGGGACAGACATTCCGATGATATTCTGAGCCAAAGCCGGACAGGCAGCAGCTGCTGGGAGGCATCTGTGGTACTGCCGCGAGCAGGCCCTGACTGCCGCGAGCAGGCTCTGCTATGGGTGGTTTGTGTGCTCCCCGTGTGACCAGCGGCCGTAGAAACACGCGGCATGACTGCCAGCGGGGCTAGGAGAAATGGATCTCCTTAGGCTGATGGCCCCACTGGACGTCCTGGCTCCCGATTACCTGCTTACCGCTGGCTCGCGGGGGCGGGGGGGGCGGGGAGGCGGGGGGACGGACGGGACCCTCAGAAGCCGAGACCGTCAGCCACCAGGAGGGCCCACCTGCACTGCTTGCCCTCTTTAATGTGAAAGAGCAAAAGGCGTCTGACAAACAAAAGCTTTCACTTTTTCTCGAAGTCGTACATCTGTTTTAAATATCGAAGGGTCCTTGTTTGTCAAAAATATACTCGTCATGGTTAGACAATTATAACATTAGAGACTTATCTCGATGTCACTGAAGTTACAACAATCATTCTAAGGCTCTAAAAAAGGGAGGCTCTGATTTGAACAGAATTTTATTTTAATTTAAAGACTGAGGTATTGGGCGCCTGGGTGGCTCAGGTTGGTTGAGCGTCTGCCTTCGGCTCAGGTCATGAGTGCAGGGTCCTGGGATCGAGCCCCCGCATCAGGCTCCCTGCTCAGTGGGGAGTCTGCTTCTCCCTCTGCTCCTCCCCCTCCTCGTGCTCTCTCTCTCTCTTAAACGAATAAATAAAATCTTTAAAAAAAAATCAAAATAAAAATAAAGACTGAGGTATTGTTAAGAAGATGAATCCTTAAGTTCTTTTGATTTCCAAAGAGTATATTTCACTATGCTTTTTCTTTTTATCATAACTTTCTGAGTTATTTTCTTAAATGCTCATACCCGACTTTTATATTTGAATATTTTAGGTGTTACTCTTGTAGGAGGACTAAAAAATTTTGAAAAATTAGGCAAAATCATGAGATTCCCCACAATTTTTCTAAATTATCATGGTTAGTCACAAAGGGAAAATAAAATTGATTCGGGGATTAGTTCTTTTGTTATTTCTAGGTAGAAATATGAATTCTGCTTCATTAATTCTATCTATTTCTACAAAACTAAGAGACTTTGCCAAAACACTAATCAATCATTGTGGTTACTGTTATATACTTTGATATATGAACAACACCCCCAACATCAAATATTACAAATAAAGATGCATTAAAAAGATAAAATTACAAAAGAAGCATTATTTACAATCCAATTAAAAAATGGGCAGAGGACCTGAATGGACACTCTTGCGAAGAAGACATGCAGATGGCTAACAGACAATGAAAAGATACTCAACATCGCTGATCAGCAGGGAAGTGCAAATCAAAATCATAATGAGATATCATCTCACACCTGCTGGAACGGCTAAAATCAAAAAGACAAGAAATCACAAGTGTTGGAGAGGAGATGGAGAAAAAGAAACCCGTGCACACTATTGATGGGAATGAAAATTGGTTCAGCCACTGTGGAAAACAGTATGGAGGTTCCTCAAAAATTTAAAAATAGAGATAACATACGATCCATTAATTTGACTACTGGGTATTTACCCAAAGAAAACAAAAACACTAATTCAAAAAGATATATGCACCTCTGTTTATTGCAGCATTATTTATAATAGCTAAGATATGGAAACAACCTGAATGTGCACTGACAGACAAATGGATAAGATGTGGGGTATGTATGTATGTGTGTGTGTGTGTGTGTGTGTTTGTAATACATCACTCGGCCATAAAAAAGGATGAGATCATGCCATTTGGTACAACATGGGTGGACCAAGAGGGTATTATGCTAAGCGAAATAAGTCAGACTGAGAAAGGCAAATACCGTAAGATTTCATTCATATGGGGAATCTAAAACAGAAAAATGAATAAACAAACAAAAAGCAGACTCATACCTGTAAATACAGAGAACAAACTGATGGTTGTTGGGGGGGCTGGGCAAAATGGGTGAAGGGAGTAGTAGATACAGGCTTCCGGTTATGGAATGAATAAGTCACAGGAATAAAAGGCACAGCATAAGGAATATAGTTAATGATACCGTAACAGCCCTGCATGGTGACAGATGGTGGCTACGCTTGTGGTAGTCACAGCATAACGTATAAACTTGTAGAATCACTATGTTGTACATTTGAAACTAATACAACATTGTGTGTCAACTACATTCAAATAAAAACATTTTTTTTAAGATTTTATTTATTAAGAGAGAGAGCGAGCCTGAGGGGAGGGGCAGAGGCAGCAGGCTCCCCACTGAGCAGGGAGCTCAACGCGGGGCTCAATCCCAGGACTTCGGGATCATGACCCAAGCCAAAGGCTGATGCTTAACCGACTGAGCCATGCAGGCGCCCTCAAACAAGAAATTTAAAAAATAAAACCAATGTGGCATAGTCTTCTAAAAAACTTGCTTGAAAACACTGTTTTCTTTAAACGTGAATTATTTTTCCAAGAAATGTTAAAAAACTTAAATGTTACAGGATACAGTAAAGCTGTTTGTAATTTCAACTTATATGTAATAAAATATTAAGAGAACGCATTTATGGGGCGCCTGGTGGCTCAGTTGGTTAAAGCGACTGCCTTCGGCTCCGGTCATGATCCTGGAGTCCCGGGATTGAGTCCTCCATCAGGTTCCCGGCTCAGCAGGGAGTCTGCTTCTCTCTCTGACCCTCCCCCCTTCTCATGCTCGCTCTTTCTCTCTCTTCTTAAAGAAAAAGAAAAAGAAAACACATTTAAAGACAACTAAAAAAAAAAAGCAGCATTGTTTGCTTTCAACTTACAAGGTTAATTCTTAGTCCAGGAGAAAAATCGAATGCATTCTTAATATTGTGCCCAAATAGTATCTTGAGACTACCAGAATTATTCAGTAAAGGGACTGCCTATTTTTCTATAATACCCCACATGTGTAAAACTTTGAACATCACACTTCTCCCTTATGAATAATTTTATAACAATTTTAAACTCAAACTTGAAGGGCCCCAAATAAGCATCCTCATCCAACAATAAAGGCTTATTCAACCAAGAAAATAAATGATGTGAAGTCAAACAAAAAAGTGCTTAGTTATAGTAGTGCCTACTGCCTTCTCGGATATTCACATGCAGAATAAAAATCATTACTATGCTGTCCCCCAGGTTTTCTTTTTACATATGAATATAATCCCTGTTAAAACACACATACATACCCTTATAGCTCCAACTACAGGGGTGATAAAGTGAAACAGGGAGACTTTATTTTGTAAACACATTAATTCAAAAAGGATTTTAGTTTGCAATCAAATGTGCTGGCCAAAATCAAACTCAGAACCTGGTGGAGAAAAGTGGATTTCTAAACATTAAATGATTATGATACACATGGAGGTACTGACCTTGTAAGCTTGCATAAGCATGTGGATGACACCTGGCGCACCATGGCACCAGTGGACCAAGCGATCTGTTTCATTGCTTAACGATGACGGATAATTCCCAGATCGGAATCTTTTGTGGCGCACATAATCAATACTAGGTTTCACCATTTCTGTCAAGGTTTCTTGGTCCACTTTTGCTGCCGGCTTTAAAACAAATAAAAAAAACCAAAACATTTATTTTTCCTTAAGGTTTTTTTTTTTTAATTTTGTTATGTTAGTCACCATACGATACATCATTAGTTTTTGATGTAGTGATCCACGCTTCACTGTTTGCATATAACACCCAGCGCTCCACGCAGAACGTGCCCTCTTTAATACCCATCACCAGGCTAATCCATCCCCCCACCCCCCTCCCCTCTAGAACCCTCAGTTTGTTTCTCAGAGTCCATCGTCTCTCATGGTTCATCTCTCCCTCCGATTCGCCCCCTTCATTTTTCCCTTCCTTCTCCTAATGTCCTCCGTGCTATTCCTATGTTCCACAAATAAGTGAAACCATATAATTGACTTTCTCTGCTTGACTTTATTTCACTGAGCATAATCTCCTCCAGTCCCAACCCTGTTGACGTAAAAGTTGCGTATTCATCCTTTCTGATGGCTGAGTAATATTCCATTGTATATATGGACCGCATCTTCTTTATCCATTCACCTGTTGAAGGGCATCTCGGCTCTTTCCACAGTTTGGCTATTGCCGACATCGCTATGAACATTGGGGTGCATATGGCCCTTCTTTTCACTACATCTGTGTCTTTGGGGTAAATACCCAGGAGTGCAATTGCTGGGTCATAAGGTAGCTCTATTTTTAATTTTTTGAGGCACCTCCACACTGTTTTCCAAAGTGGCTGTACCAACCAGCATTCCCACCAACAGTGTAAGAGGGTTCCCCTTTCTCCACAACTTCTCCAACCTTTGTTGTTTCTTGCCTTGTCAATTTTTGCCATTCAAACTGGTTTAAGGCGGTATCTCAATGTGGTTTTGATTTGAATTTCCCTGATGGCTAATGATGATGAACATTTTTTCATGTGTCTCTTAGCCATTTGTATGTCTTCTTTGGAGAAGGGTCTGTTCGTGCCTTCTGCCCATTTTTTGACTTGTGTTTTTTTTTAAGCCTTTGTACTATAGCTAATATGGCAAAGCATCCGTTACCTGGAATACTGAGAAACATATAAAATTCAAATGAATTCACTTATTTGGTTATTTAAGACTTGGGCAGACCTTGTTTTAGTTCAACTTGTCTTGATGTTGAAGACGAAGTCTGAAGGCCATCTGCTGGAGAATTCCCTCTTGCTCAGGGCAGGCCTTTAACCGACTGAATGAGAGGCCCAGCCACGTTATGGAGGGGAAACTGCTTTACTAAGAAGCCCAAGCATTTGTAGGAGTGCTGACAATAATGATTCATCTTCGGCCCTCCATCTTGTTCATGCTTGCTCAGTGGCCTCTCTTGTGGCTATGTGTTCCGGGCCCCTTGGAGAATGACATACATACCTTAGAAATGCCGGCCAACGCAGGGATGGGGGGAGGCCTGTTTTGGCGTCTCATGAATCTGTGGGGCCAGGTGGGGCCAAAAGATCTCATTAAATGGTAGCTGTCATTTAGGTGCCTGCAAGCCCTCTGAGGTGTGTGCAAACGCTCTGATCTCACTACAATGCCCTTCTGCACGTCCCCTCCCTCCACAAAATCTAGGGACTAAGGTCTGGACTTTGCAGAAAATAACTATGCAGCTGCTGTAGATAGATCATCCTCTGCCGGATGACCCCTGTCAGAGCAAGGTACCCCAAATAAAACTCTGTGTAAACTCTATGGAGTGGCCTGCTTCGTTTTCTGGTCTCGAAGTTGTCTTCTCAGTCGGGAGAGACTTTCCTGTCCCTCCCCCACCTTCTAACACCATTTAAATGTAAATCTCACCCAAAATGTCCTCACAGAAACACCCAGAAAAATGCGTGACCACATACCTGGGCGCTGTGGCCCAGCCAAATTAACATCTAATATTAACCAGCACAGAGAGCTAGCTAACATTTTTAATGGGGGCTTTGAAATACCTACGTCTGTCAATCTTTCATCTGAGCTGTTTCTCCAACATACAACAACAACAAAACCCCACGTCAATCGCCCTGCTGAAAGGGCGGCGGTGAGGCCAAAGGGTGAGAGAGGGGGAGGCGCGCGAGGCTGCCCCTGGGGGCAGGGAGGGCGCACCCGGTACCCTGTGGCCTTTCAGGCCAACCTGCTGCGATCGGCTCTGTGCTTCGCTTCACCTCTCCTCTACAGCCGGCTTTCTGGAGCTGAGCGATCGGGTTCAACTCCTCCAGGCCCTCTCCTTTGGTCTCCAGCAGCAGTTAGGGGAGAACGGTCACGGGGCAGGGCGATCTTACTGACGGAGATCCAGCCGCTCTGTATGAAGGTTTTGAGCGCAGCCCTCCCGCCGCCCACACGTCTTGCGCCGAGAGCACCCGGGCCGGGCCCTCCTTCCGCGGTAACGGCACGTTCAGCTCCTGCGGGCTCGCGTGTGCTCTCCCTCCAGCCTGTCTGGTCGTTTGCCGTTCTGCCCTCTAGTCTCAGTCTAGCTGTTCGTAGTCTGGGCCTCCGGACGGTCTCCTAGTCTCATCAGGGCAGTTGGGTTTCTGGGGGCTTTGTTGGTGGTGGTGGTGGTTTTCCTAGCTGTTTTGAGATTGTTTTCAAGAGCAGCAATGTCTTTGTTCTGCCATCCTGAAAGTGGAGTTTAAGGGATGTTTTGAAAGTTTTTGTGCATACTCCTCTAAGAGCCTTCCAGACGAAAGCGCACCGTGGGACCCCCCCACCACGGCGCCGCCCCCCGCAGGCCAGCGTCAGTGCGCGTGCGCGCAGGGAGGACAGGCGCGAGCGGGCTCGGGGAGCTAGTCCAGCGCAGCGCTGCCTGCCTGGGGATCACTGCAAGGAAACGGACACCGACGTCTCTCCGGAATCCTGACTACATCATAGTTGCACGTTCTTCACTTTAAAGGCAGATAAAGGAGAAAACCTTGGTGACTTGTGTTTCTCTCAAGGAAACCCCGGATATCTAACAAAATTAAACTAAACACCTACATCTAAACTTTAAGGTTATGTCTTATTGGTGTGGTTTTCATATGGTTAGTGTTCCCCTAAGCCAAGTTTCAAAAGCTGGTGTTAAAACATTTTCTTGGGGAAATAGAAAATAGAGACAAACTACCAACTTTCCAGAATCTATTTTAAAAAGAGATATGGACTTCTAGTTACTTTGAAAACATGTGTCTGCACTATAAAGAAAATTCACAAATTGGGATACATACGTTTTGCTTTCTACAACAATAAACAAAGACAACTAATTACCACAAAAGGGGGTTTTAGGCCCGTTTAGATATGAATCTCCTTTAATGGTAGAGTAGGTTTAAAAAAAGGGATTTTAAGTAAACATTTTTAGCTTTTAGTTAAGTTTTAACCTGAATGCTAATCCATGCTCCTTGTCAATTTTTGCCATTCAAACTGGTTTAAGGTGGTATCTCAAGGTGGTTTTGATTTGAATTTCCCTGATGGCTAATGATGATGAACATTTTTTTCATGTGTCTCGTAGCCATTTGTATGTCTTCTTTGGAGAAGGGTCCTTGACTCGCTAGCTTTGTGATTTTTGAGCATTAATCACTCTGTTATGGGTGTGGTCGATAAATAAAGGCTCAATTGGGGGGGGAAAAAAAAAAAGTCTGTGTACCCAGCAGGGAAGGGCACCACGGGCCATAAGGAAGCAGGTTGAAGCACGATCTGGGGTGGGTCTCTGCCTGCTTGATGGATCGGGGACTACTCAATTCACGCAATGTCAGGCATGACTGAGAGACAAGATCACAACCACAACAATAAACTAGTTGAAAGTTTAGAACACAACCGAAAGCAAGTTGGGGGTATCTGAATAGGAAAAAGTCTCTGCCTCAGTGGGGATTCTGGAGGCCCTTTCTGCTCCCTGAAGGTTCCCCTCTATTCAAAGAGTAACGACTCCAATGAGCAGAAGGACATGGACCGAAGAAAAATGTGGCCACTAGACAACTAACCCAGTACAAAACCACATGTAGAATGTGCTCTTAGGGCGCCTGGGTGGCTCGGTTGGTTAAGCGGCTGCCTTTGGCTCAGGTAATGATCCCAGAGTCCCGGGATCGAGTCCTGCATCGGGCTCCCTGCTCAGCGGGGAGTCTGCTTCTCCCTCTCCCGCTCCCCCTTCTTGTGCTCTCTCTCTCTCTCTCAAATAAAAAAAAAAAAAGAATGTGCTCTTAGCACTTCAGTGCTTGGGGTTCATGAAGCAGAGCTTAAGTATCCACGATTCAATGCAGGATCCTTATTTCAGCCTGCTTGACTTATACTAAAATTTCAGTCCCCATTTCCTATCTGGCCGAATATTTGTATACCGTAGTCACTGTATTAGTGTTTCCGAGTACCCTTCTTTACCTGCATTAGCATGTAGTAGATCCCAGCCATGCCGTGAGCCGCTCCAACATACTGCTTCCTGTGCCACTGGTATAGCAGCGGGCAGCGCTCGGCCTTCCTCTCTTCCCTCGACAGAGTCTTGCCGGACTCGATGATAGCACTGACTACCTACGGAGATAAGGAGACAGCGTAAGTCTAAAGAACTGATGTGTATCCTGCTTTAGTCTACTTAACACTAACAATTCTATACAGATTTCTTAACCTAAAAATCTAGAAGCAGTCAGTAGCCACCACCGTTATCTTTAGTTTATATATTAATAAATACACGCAGAGAGAAATCAGAAGACAAAAAGAAATTAGGAAGTCAAACCACGACGTTAAAAGTCCTTTGTGTCACAGATTGGTACCTCTGAAGCAAATAATATATTATATGTTAAAAAAAAGAAGACAGCAGGAGGGGAAGAATGAAGGGGGGCAGAATCAGAGGGGGAGATGAACCATGAGAGACGATGGACTCTGAGAAACAAACCGAGGGTTCTAGAGGGGGGGGGGGTGGGGGGATGGGTTAGCCTGGTGATGGGTATTAAAGAGGGCACGTTCTGCATGGAGCACTGGGTGTTACGCACAAACAATGAATCATGGAACACTGCATCACAAACTAATGATGTAATGTGTGGTGATTAACATAACAATAAAAAATCGATTTAAAGAACATAAAAAAGAAGTCCTCTGTATGAACAGTTGACTAGAATCTAGAAAAACTTCCTATAAAAACTACCCTAGACTACTTAGTTGCCTTGTAACTGCAATGTTTTCTCCAAAAGACTGGCAGTACATCTTCTAGGAAAGGCTGGAGGAATTTAGCCTTATTTATGAAAGGCTAATGAAATGAGGTCTCTTGTGGCATGCAGATTTTAGTTAAGTCAAAAGAATATCATATCTGTAATGACTCTGTAGCAAAGACACAATTGTTCCCTCATCCTTTGTCCCTCCATACTTTTGGTAACAGTGCTCCAAGTTTTAGCTGGGCGTCTGGCCTCTCAGCTACAGAAAGATATGGTCCTTTGGCTAAGTTCTGGAAGTAGGATGTGAGCAGAAGTGAAGCAGACCACTTCTGGATCGTGGCCTTAAAAAAAAAAAAAGAAAAAAAAAAAGGAGCTGCTTATCCTCTACTTCCTCCCCGGTCTTGAGCCAGGGGTGCTCAATTAGCTTTGGGCGCGCAGATAAGGGCATGCGCCTAGGATACGGCAGAAGACAAGAGAAGAACCCAGGTCCTTAGCCATATTCGCTGCGACTGCCTACCAGTGCAGATGCTTTACGAAAGAGAAATAAAGATTCTATCTTTTTGAAGCTGCTGTTGTTTGGTACTAGTAAAAACAGGTGAATTAATAGGCCTAAGAGGAGGACAGATTAAAAAAAAAAAGCAAAACCTTCCTAGAAAGGAAAAAAAAGCAGCTATTTATTGCTTTTATGAGATGCCTTAAGATTTTACTCCTAGCTAGAAGCAGAGTCCAGCCACTAACACAGCTCTGTGCTAACAGATGGGTTGGGGTGGTAGAGACGACAGGATGCCCACGGGCTGACGGCAACCCCACAGTACCTCTTTGATAGCTGACTCACACACGGTGCCCGGACCGATCTCCGTGTTCAGGTAGAGTAAGGCATACAGATAACCTGCCCGTCCATAGAGCAGCTCATCAGGGAGGTCTGAATCTCGGCACATGATGGTTCTCTGGAGCTGCAAAAGTCTACCCAATAAGAAAAATTCTGTTTTCCTGGGGAAATTCCTGTGAAACTCCTCTTCCTGAAACTGTTAGTAACCCTATCATTTTAGAAACTACCTGTTATTTATTTTTAATTTAAAACTGATTCTAAGAAATACAAACAAAACCCAAACAATAAAAACTTCACCACTACACTAATTTCCCTCTCAGACAGCACATTAATAGCAACACACCTTTCTGTTCAGAATATCTACCTTGATATCTAGTCTAAACCATGTAAGAGATGATACTCAATTTTGAAATAAGAATTAGAAGAAAGTGATTTAAAATTTAAAAGAACTTTTAAAAGAAACTTATTTTTTTTGAAATTAAACTTAATTTAAAAGAAATTAAAAGAAATAGTACTAAAATGTAGTCAATGTTTGGGAATTAGCTTGACTCATTCTTTCAACAAACATCAACTGACTAGCGTGTGTCAGACACTCCACCAGGACCATGGGAGTAGGCCCTGATTTCTACTTCGAAAAAGAATATAAACCAATAGGTGCAATAAAAGTTTTACACTCTCTAACTGTCCCAAAACAAATGAACCTAAAAAATAACTTAGTTAGGACAGTGAATCTAAGGCATAGATAGAAGCGAATTTTCATGCAATGAAGGCAACCAAAAATTATTTAGGAAAAAGAGTAAGGTAACACAAAGAAACATGTCTATTTGTTCCCCAGATTAAGGCAGACACACGCTTGGATAGAAAGGAGGCATGTGATCTTCTCGTTACGCTCAGCGTTCACACACAAACCTCCTTCACTTCTTGGAAAGATCTGTTGGCAACAGCAGATGAATTAAAAAATAATTTCCTTTTTGAATGTCTTTCTACAGTAAGACCTCGAATTGAGAATTTAGAGAAAATACTTCCAGTTTGAAAAACTCACTTTGTGATGCATTCCTGGGACTCACAGTCGCTCCTGAGTTTGTGATACACCACAGCTCCTACAGCGAGGGGTCCGGCGTCTCCACAGAGGAAAGTGACCCTGCGGCCGCTCAGGTTCCGAAGCGTTCTCTTTACGTAATCCAGGGATCGGAGCAGGTAGGTCTGGTCACACGTGACCCGGTACAACTGCAGGTACAAAAGGGCTATGCCTGGAAAACGCCCCCCCCCCGCCGACCCCAAAGAAAAGCATCATTACCTTTCTTTTTCCACCTTCGGGACATTGTTTTATGATCACATGAAAAACTTACATAAACTCTAAGTTTCTGAAGGGGCATCATCAAACAAGTTACATCTGATACATCTTTTAAAAACAGAAAGAAAAAAAAAACCCTCAGGGTAGAAAAGGCGTAAACCAAGTTTAAATCCATTGTCTTGCTAATTGCCCTGTTACAGTGATTCAGTACCTCCTAGACAAGGTAAGATATTAAGACTTCCCACACATTCCCATTTTCTGTACGTTCATTTCAAGATTTTATTCCTTCGCCACTGTATTTTAAGCTAACTTGGATCCTTTTCTTTTTACTTCTCATATAATCATTTCCAAATTAAATCATTACTTTCTAAATTGTACACCCCTTTCTTTCTAATTTTTCTATTTCTCACAAGTTTGCAATTTTCTTTAGTGACCAAGCTATCCAAATGAACAACCAACCAGTGAGCGAGTCAACTCACTGTTTATGGGACAGCCATATGATGCAGAGTAAGGTAACAAACACAGAAAACAGAGTTTACCACCTATGCAACCTTCCTATCTTAAAGATTTTATTTATTTATTATTGAGGGAGAGAGCAGACTCTGAGCTGAGCATGAGCCCCATGCGGGGCTCAATTTCACGACCCTGAGATCACGACCTGAACTGAAATCAAGAGTCGGGTGCTTAACCGACTGAGCCACCCAGGTGCCCCGTAACCTTCCTATTTTAAAGAACAAATCCAGACACTTAAGTGAACCAGAGAGGGGTCTTTTTCTGAAAATCTACAGAGGATGACCTATAAAGCTTCTGAAAGAGGCCCGCTATTATTCCTGGACTCCAGTCACTCTGATGGCTAAGTAAAAACAACAACAACAAAAAAAAACAACTGTATAAATATATACTTAATAAAATATATTACAGAGAAAGTATTGAAGAAAATGATAAGATGGTGAAAAGGCCAAACAGAACATTTATTCATGTCTGAATTGGGATTCTCTAATATTATGTTCTTTGTCTAATATCGTACTCTCACTTCTATTATTTTTCATTTTGCTTTTTAGTTTATGTTGTTTTAATTGTTTCACGTGCGTATAACTGACACACAATATTACAGCACTTTCACGTGTACAACACACCATCTATGTTCTGCTAGGCACTTTGCTTTTTAAATTTCTCTAAATAGGTAGGGTTTTTTTTGGTCCTTTAATTCTCTACTTCAGAGTATCCTACTTCCCTTTCAAATGCTTAACATCTCTCTCTCTACATATATTTGAAAAGTCCTTTTCTCATTATCCAATTCTTGAAAGTTGTTTAAGTCAGACAAATTTAAAAGTACCATATTGGTAAGCCTTGGAAAAGTATCCTTCCATATGAATTATTTGTGAGGTCCTGTATTTAAGTTGTTTTTGTATTCAAGAAATTGAAATTACAGGCGCCTGGGTGGCTCAGTCGGTTAAGCGTCTGCCTTCGGCTCAGGTCATGATCCCGGGGTCCTGGGATCGAGTCCCGCATCGGGCTCCCTGCTCAGCGGGGAGCCTGCCTCTCCCTCTGCCTCTCTGTCTCTCTCTCTCTCTCTCTGTCTCTCATGAATAAATAAAAAAAAAAAAAAAAAGAAATTGAAATTACAAACATAGAGAAAGCAAGCTAAAAGTTAAGTACCTAGAAATTTCAAACATGCTCATTTTAAAAGGTTTACAAATAAGTACTTCACGATTGACTCAGAAATCCTTAAAAAATAGAATGATGTGGTCAGCCTATGAACCTTAAAACCTATAGTTATATATGTATTCAATGCTTATTTTAATTAATTAAATAATTATTTTTAGAGGGGGGGGAGGGGCAGAGGGAGAATCTCAAGCAGGCTCCATGTCCAGCACAGGGCCCAATGTGGGGCTCAATCTCACAGCCCTGAGATCAAAATCAAGAGTGGGATGCCTAACTGACTGAGCCGCCCCGGTGCCCTATTTATTTTTTTAAATGTTATAGCCAGGTCTTTTTTTAAATTAATTAATTTATTTTTAAGTAATCTCCATACCCAACGTGGGGCTCAGACTCTCAACCATGAGATCAAGAGTTGCATGCTCTTCCAACTGAGCCAGCCAGGCGCCCCAGTGCTTAAATATTTTAAAGTAAATGATAGGCAAAATATTTTTCAAAAAAGTCATCCTAACATTCTGCCCTTGAATACTTCAGTATGAATATCTAAAATATATAAAGCCAAAATAGCATTATAGCATTGTAACTACCAAACTAATAATTAGTAAGTGAGACTGAGCTGTGGTATATTTTTTAGTAAATCTTTATGTCAGTTTTGGTACCAGTATCATCCTTGTTTCATAAGATAATAGGAAGTATTCCTTATTTTCCTACCTCTGAAACAGTCTGAAAGTAGCAAAGAAAAAAAGTAACACTGAGATTTCCTGTTCTTTTTTTATTATTTTATTTTTTTAATTTTATTATTTTTTAATTCCAGTATAGTTAAGGTACAGTGTTATATTTGTTTCAGGTGTACAATACAGTGATTCAACAATTCTATACGTTATTCAGTGCTCATCACAACAAGTGCACTCCTTAATCTCCATCGCCTGTTTCGTCCACCCTCCCCCGCCCACTTCCCCTCTGGTAACCTTCAGGACATTATATGCCACATCTTCTTTATCCATTCATCCATCAGTCGATGGACATTTGGGCTCTTTTCCATAGTTTGGCTATTATCAATAATGCTGCTATAAACATCAGGGTGCATGTACCCCTTCAAATCTGTATTTTTGTATCCTTTGGATAAACACCTAGTAGTGCAATTGCTGGGTCGTAGGGTAGTTCTATTTTTAACTTTTTGAGGAACCTCCAAACTGTTCTCCAAATTGGCTGCACCAGTTTGCATTCCCACCAGCAGTGCAGAGGGCTCCCCTTTCTCCATATCCTTGCCAACATCTGTTGTTATCTGAGTTGTTCATTTCAGCCATTCTGACAGGTGTGAGGTGGTATCTTATTGTGGTTTTGATTTGTATTTCCCTGACGCCAAGTGATGTTGAATATTTTTTCATGTGTCTGTTGGCCATTTGTATGTCTTCTTTGGAGAAATGTCTCTTCATGTCTTCTGCCCATTTTTAATTGGATAATTTGTTTATCTGGTGTTGAGTTGTGTGAATTTTTTTTTAATATTTTATTTATTTATTTGACAGAGAGAGCACAAGCAGGGGGAGCAGCAGAGGAAGAAGGGGAAGCAGGCTCCCCATCAAGCAGGGAGCCCGATGCCGGGGCTTGATCCCAGGACCCTGGGATCATGACCTGAGCCAAAGGCAGACGCTTAACTGACTGAGCCACCCAGGCGCCATGAGTTGTGTAAATTCTTGACATATTTTGGATACTATCCCTTTATCAGATAAGTCATTTGCAAATACCTCCCATTCAGTACGTTGTCTTTTGGTTTTGTTGACTGTTTCCTTTGCTGTGTAGAAGCTTTTTATTTTGATGTAGTCCCACAAAAAGAGTAGCACTGGGATATCCTGTTCTTTGAAAGAAACTGTCTCTTAATTAGTTTATTGTTTGCTTCCCCCCTAGTTTTATTAAGGTATAAGTGACAAAACTGTACATGTAAGTGTACAACAGAGTGCTTTGATATAATTTATGCACTGTGAAAATATTACCACCATCAGGTTAACAACTCCATCACCTCACATACCATTTATTTAATGTGTGTGATGAGAACACTTAAGATCTACTCTCTTGGCAAATTACAAGTGTGCAATACAGCATCATGAACTATAGTCATAACGCTCTACGTTAGATCTAAAGAACTGGTATATCTTGTAACTGAAGGTTTGTACTCTTTGACCACCATCTCTCCCATTTTTCCCACCCTGCAACCTGTGGTAATCACCATTCAACTCTGTTTCTGTTAGTTCATTTGTTTTTTTTTTAAGACTTCATATATATGTGAGATCATGGTTCTGTCTGGTTTATTTCACGTAGCATAATGTCCTCTAAGACCATCCATGTTGTCACCAATGACAGGATTGTGTTCTTTCTCATGGCTAATGTTTCATTACATCCACATAGATGTAGGTACAGATACAGATGTACAGGTACATGTAAATATAGATAGAAATAGATAAAAAATACCACAACTTCTTTATCCATTCAACCATTGGTGGATACTAAGGTTGTTTCCGTATTTTGGCTATTGTGAATGATGCAATGAACACAGGGGTGCATGTATCTTTTCAAGTTAAGTTTTCTCCCTGTGGAAAAATACCCAGAAGTAGAATTGCTGGATCATCTGGTAGTTCTATTTTTAATTTTTTACATTTACATTCTCACCAAAAGTGTACTAGGGTTCCCCTTTCTCCACATCCTTGCCAACATTTGTCATCTCTTCTATCTTTAATAAAAGCCATCTTAACAGGTGTGAGGTGATATCTCATTATGGTCTTGATTTGCCTTCTTTGGTCCTTGGCCCATTTTTTTTTAAGTAATTTTTTATTGTTATGTTAATCACCATACATTACATCATTAGTTTCTGATGTAGTGTTCCATGATTCATTGTTTGTGCATAACACCCAGTGCTCCACGCAGAATGTGCCCTCTTTAATACCCATCACCAGGCTAACCCATCCCCCCACCCCCCTCCCCTCTAGAACCCTCAGTTTGTTTTTCAGAGTCCATCGTCTCTAATGGTTCGTCTCCCCCTCCGACTTACTCCCCTTCATTCTTCCCCTCCTGCTATCTTCTTTCTTCTTCTTTTTTTTTTTCTTAACATATATTGCATTATTTGTTTCAGAAGTACAGATCTGTGATTCATCAGTCTTGTACAATTCACTGTGCTCACCATAGCACATACCCTCCCCAATGTCTATCACCCAGCCACCCAATCCCTCCCACCCCCCACCAGTCCAGCAACCCTCAGTTTGTTTCCTGAGATTAAGAATGCCTCGTATCAGTGAGGTCATATGA